ATTTTAAAAACTTAACTTCTTGCTTTTTGTGAGTTCACACACTCACAATATGTAAACAATATCTTTAGACAATGGCTGTGCTATTCTTTACGTATAATCTGTCTCCATTCACCTCATACACTTATACTCACCCTTCCTTTTCGGCATATGTCTTTCCAAATAAAAGAGTTAGCAAGCAACCATCTAAGGTAATTGGATGAAATCGCATGATATATGCTTTTAATGATATGTGTAAAAAATACAGGTATGTATTACAATTTCTATGAATATGTTATTTACAGACTGGTTTCTGTAATACCCATGCTAAATTGTACAGCTTATCCCACTCCTGGGCATATACTTGGACAAAACTATAATTTGAAAAGATACATGCACCCCTATGTTCATAGCAACACTATTCACAAGAGCTAAAACATGGAAACAACCTAAATGTCCATCAATAGGTGAATGGATAAAGAAGATGTGGTACATGTGTACAATGGAATACTACACAGCCATAAAAAAGAATGAAATAATGCCATTTGCAGCAACATGGATGCAACTAGAGATTATCATACTAAAGTACGTCAGAAAGAGAAAGACAAATACATATGATATCACTTGTATGTGGAATCTAAAATATGGCACAAATGAACCTATCTACAAAACAGAGAGACTCACAGACATAGAGATCAGACTTGTGGTTGCCAAGGGGGAGGCAGGGAGGGAGAGAGATGGACTGGGAGTTTGGGCTTGGTAGATGCAAACTATTACATTTAGAATGGATAAACAACAAGGTCCTACTGTACAGCACAGGGAACTACATCCAACCTCCTGGGATAAACCATAATGGAAAACAATATTTAAAAAAATAATGTCCATATGTGTATAACTGAGTCACTTTGTTGTACAGCAGAGATTGACACAACATTGTTAAGTCAACTACACTTCAATTAAAAAAAAAGAAAAAAAGAAATTGTACAGCTTATCACTGTCATTACTACATTCCAAATTCACATAAGAAGAATTAAAAGGGCTTCCCTGGTGGCGCAGTGGTTGAGAGTCCGCGTGCCGATGCAGGGGATATGGGTTCGTGCCCCGGTCCGGGAAGATCCCACATGCCGTGGAGCGGCTGTGCCCGTGAGCCATGGCCGCTGAGCCTGTGCATCCGGAGCCTGTGCTCCACAATGGGAGAGGCCGCAACAGTGAGAGGCCCGCGTACCGCAAAAAAAAAAGAATTAAAAAATTAAGTAAGAAGAATTCATAGGATATAATGAATATGAAAATGACCACAGAAACAAAAGCATTTAAAACATTTAGATGAAGAATTTCTTCTCTATAATTTTGCTCACACTTTTTTCTAGACAATATCAACTACTTCTGTGTTGTTAATTCCCATCTGTAACTCCTAAATCTGTATTTCCAACCCTGCTCTTTTATAGTTTGCATCTATGAATCTAGCCATCTGCTGGGAGCTTGCACTTGGATGACCCACAAACACTCTAAACTCAATATTTCTAAAACCAAACTCATTATGTCTACCTGCTCCCCAGTCCATTCCATTTCTATAGAGGTAAATGGTTTTATTATGTATCTAGTCATCTAAGCCAGAAACTTGGGAATTATTCTAGCTTTCTTTCCTTCTTATTTCCCATGGGTCATCATGGACCTATGCATATTTTCCTCCCTAGGTATCTTTCAAGTCAGGTCGTTCTCACCACCCCTGCAGTTTTTATCTTGCTTTTGCTCCTTATTTTGTTTTGCATGAAGGGAGTCCTTAATTAGTCTCCAACCTCCTTCCACTCTCTTCCCCAAAGAGTCAACCCAGGCTCTACACTAGGGGTTCAAACTGGCAGCCCTCAGGCTAGATTTACTTAGCAACTTTTATTCTCTTGTCATTTTTAATCACTTGAATATCTTTATACACTTTTCAGTTTGTCTCCTCCACCACTCCCCACCACTTTAGACCAGCCCCCAATTTACACATTTTTTATTTGCTTGATCCTCAGAGGTATTTGAATTTGTGACCCTTGTTGCATATTTCTAAAATGGAAGTTTACCTAAAATCCTTCAATTGCCCATTATCCCCTATAAAGAATGTCTAAATTCTTTATCATGGATACAATACTCTCAGAATCTTGAGTACTTTCCCATCTTCCCTTTTAACATATGCTTCAGCCATTCTATATTTTTTTAAGTCAGTTGCTTGATTTTTTAAAAATATTTATTTGGCTGGGCTGGGTCTTAGTTGCAGCACATGGGATCCCTAGTTGTGGCATGCGAAATCTTTCTTCTTTTAGTTGCGGCATGCGGTATTAGTTCCCTCACCAGGGATCGAACCCAGGCCCCCTGCATTGGGATTGTGGAGTCTTAACTGCTGGACCACCAGGGAGGTCCCTCATCCATTCTATATTTACAGGCCCCAGATATGCCCTGCTGCTCCATGACTTTATGTCTTTGTTAAAACTTGCTTCCTCTGCTTTGTTACATTCTAACTTCCTTCAACTGGTTACACTTAGCCATATGGCTTGAGGAACATTTTCTTTGTAACCCTCTCTCTCAAGCAGAATTATTCATTCCTGTCTTTTGCTATCACTTCCCCTTAAATATTCCTCAAAATTATATGCTTATATATTTGTTTTCTCTGCTAGACCTGATATCCTTGGGACCAGCTTAATATGTCTTTACATTTCTAGTGCCTAGCATAGTACTTGATACATAGCTGTAATCTGCTGTATGAGTAAATGGATGAATGGACTGTGTGCATGCGTCTGTGTGTGTGTGTGTGTATGTGTGCGTGTGTAACATTATTACTGCAAACACTTATAGACCATTTATCATATCCTAGGCATTGTTCTAAGCACTTCTGTTAACTCACTTAATCCTCCCAACAACCCTATAAATTAGTAATGAATAAATATGAAATCTGAAATCAAGTTAGATCAAATAGGCAAGTAGTTTTCTATTATGATTTAAGAAGCATTTCTTTAGAAGTAGAAATGATTGTCATGTTTGTATTAAATTAAAAAAATAAGTTAATGAAGACACACAAAAGAAGAAGAGGGAGGACATTACTTCAGGGTCCTTATACATCACAAGTAGGTGCAATTGCTCAGTTGAGTGTTTCTGCTTCTGCTTAATGAAATCCTTCCTGGGAGGGGCAAAATCTTGTGTCATCCTTTCTAACCTGAAGCAAATTAATTTCTTCCTGCCATAAAAACGTTATTATTTTTTAAATCTTTGATTTGTGTAAAGCATTTGGTGATAATCTGTGAGCAGAGACAAAGCCTATATCCACAGATAATGATATCTGCTTCAATTCTGTCTAGTCACAGTCTTTTTTTTTTTTTTTTTTTTTGCAGTACGCGGGCCTCTCACCATTGTGGCCTCTCCCGTTGCAGAGCACAGGCTCCAGAGGCGCAGGCTCAGCGGCCATGGCTCATGGGCTCAGCCGCTCCGCGGCATGTGGCATCTTCCCGGACCAGGGCACAAACCCGTGTCCCCTGCATCGGCAGGCGGACTCTTAACAACTGCACCACCAGGGAAGCCCTAGTCACAGTCTTTACAATGTCCTAAGAGGCTCTACATAATCTGCAACCCCAGTGTTCCCTCCATCTGGAAATCTCTTTGCCCAGGTATATTTAGGCTCAGTGGGTACGTAGTTTTCAGGTAGGCAGAGATAAGGAAAAGAACTTCAGGGAGGGACTGACAAGATCAAATGCAGAAAAGCACCAGGCATGTTGGTGGTTCAGAGAGTAGGCCAGTGATGGGAGAGACAGTTCAGCCAGGATCTGGCAGGGAATGGAGAGCAACTGAAGGTTCTCAAATATTAGAGGACTCTATGACCCAAGGACAGTTTTACAAAGATGAACAGTTGGATTGAAGGTAGAAGAGATAAGAGACAGGGAGGTCAGCCAGAGGCCAGTAAGATCCTAAACTGGGATATTAGCCATAGAGCTAGAAAAAAGCAATAAAAATGAGAAAGATTGTGGGAAGAGAAAGATTATGAGAGACCGAGTTCCTGATCAGATATGAGACAAAAGAAGGGGTATGTGGTCCTGATGATAGTAGCCTCAGCAAGAGCAGAGCCCTCAGGAGGGATCTGTTGCAGATAGAGGTTTGATGGAAATGGGATATATTAGGCAGTTGGAAATAGGGCTGTGGCCCAGAAAATGGACTAGGTCTAAGGATACAAATCCTGTAAAATTCTGATTCTGGTTCTTTCTGTAGGATGAGAGGTAACCAATCAGGAGACAGAGACTGGCAATGGGCACTCTCATATGCCACTATGGGAAGTGAATTTGTGCAAATGTTTTTGGATTAGAATTTGGAAATACTCATCAACATCTAAAGTATACGTGCCTTTTGAAATATTCTCTGTAGAATTTACCTTACAGAGATATTTGCACAATTGAGGAAGAGCATATACAAGGATGCTAATTGATGTACTGTTTGGCTTGTAATGGCAAAAAAAATTGGAGTCAACTTAATTGTCAATCATTGGATGGTACCTCTATATGATGAAATACTATGTTGCTGTTAAATATAATAGAATGAGGTAAAGCTATATATAATGACACAGAAAGGTGTCTACCATGTATTAAGCAAAAAAAAGCAAGTTGTAGATGTGTTAATTAACTAGACGGGAGGAATCTTTTCACAATGAATAAGTATATCAAGTCATCACCATGTATACTTTATTTTTTCATGTACACTTTAAATATCTTTCCATTTTGTCAATTATACCTCAATAAAGCTGAAAATTTTTCAATTAAAAAAACCTCTTGGGCTTCCCTGGTGGCGCAGTGGTTGAGAGTCCGCCTGCCGATGCAGGGGACGCGGGTTCGTGCCCCGGTCCGGGAGGATCCCACATGCCGCGGAGCGGCTGGGCCCGTGAGCCATGGCCACTGAGCCTGCGCGTCTGGAGCCTGTGCTCCGCAACGGGAGAGGCCACAACAGTGAGAGGCCCACGTACCGCAAAAAAAAAATTAAAAAAAATAAATATAATGCCTTCTCCCAACACTCCCAATATTTAAAAAAAAAAAAAAAACTCTTAAAGTTCTCCTCCCACCCCATGACCACTAACAGAAGAGTTCAGTTGGTGCATGTTCTGGTTCTACCTAGGCTTGAAAAGCTGGGTCCAACAGCAAGTCACTTCTCCATCCCCCAGGAATTGTGTTAACCATTTTATTTATTTTTAAATAAAACAGAAGGGTGGGGAGAAAAGCAAGTTGCAAAATGGTGTGTCTAATATAATTCCACTTTTCAAAAAAAGTGAGATATATATTTGGACATGCACACAGAAAGGTCTAAAAGAATATGTGGAACTGTTAACTGTGATAGTTTAGGTTGGGCACGACTTAAGGGGACATTGACCTTCTACAGCTATAAATTGTTAGACGTTTTTTCCACTGAGCATGTATTATTTGCAATAAGAATAAAAGTTTGGAATTTTATTAAAAAAACACTTTCAGACTTTCTTAAGGAGGTCATTCAGTCACTGGTACTAAAGGTGAGATAGAAGTAGGTCAAAGCAAGGCAGGAAAATGTGCGGTGGACTGAGTATGTGAAAGTGGTACATGGTGTGTATGTATTGATATATGAAAACGAGCGGACGGGCCCTGCCTGGTTTGGCACCTCCTGAACATTCTAGTCCCCTTTCATAGCACCTTCCTCTCCCCCTTACACCGGCCTCCTCTCTGTTCCTTGAATAAGCCTTTCAACACATGGCCTCTGCGCATGCTGTCTCTGCCTGAAAAAATCCCCACCCCAAACACACAGCCTCCGACATGTACACACCTTGCCCTTACTTCACATCTCAGCTCAGTTGTCACTTCCTCAGAGAAGTGAGAGGGCAGCCTCTCAGAATACCGCAGGCCCCTTTGGTACATGTGTTTCTAAACACGCTACACGTGACTTGAATGGGAAAACAAGAAATTTAAAACGGGAAGGGAGAAGGATGGCAGAGAGTGACTAATGCTTTAATGGTATTCATGTTTTGAAACCTTTCTTCTTGATCTATATTGTCTAGTCTACCTGCTTTTCCTACTTTTAAGTTTACCTGTGGTTCTTCTTAGATATTTCCTATGCAGGGCGGTAAGAGAAGCCTGAAATCATTAATAGACTGTGAATTCCTGCAGTATCATTGTACAACTTCCCTTTGGACAAATTCCTTTCTGCCCTCGTTTACTGAGCGCTAAGTTCTGTTCGAGACCCTGGGTGGAATAACCTTATCTACCGCCCACCTTTCCTACTTTTTCCTCTTCTACTCTCTTATTCAGGGCAAGCTCAGTCCGTCACTGTGATTTTCAGTCTCGTGAGCATTGGAATAACCTGAGGAGCTTTTAAAAAAAGGTGGGAATTCACCCTCAGGGATTCTGACTCTGCTGGTCTAGGGTCAGACCCAAGCACAGGGGTGTTCTGAAAGTTCCTTGGGTGATGCTAATGTGCGGGCAGCATTAAGTACCACTGGCTGAGATTAATCCTGAAACAGAAACTCTACTTGGAGAACTGGAGAACACCTGACTTATGGAAATCAAAGCCTGGGTGATTCCAATGGCATCAGTCTCTTAGATGGGGTCAGACTTGCTTTGTTCACAAAGGTAGAGGCTGAAGGCCGAAAGCATAAAAGGTGACAGCTGAAGCACCACCCTGAATTAAGGCTGATGACTTTGGACCAGAGCACTTGCTTGTAGGAAATAGTTGGATCACTTGTACAGCTGGATTAGTGGCAGGCGTTCATGGAGGAGAAGAGCAGATTAAATGCCTGTGGGGACCCGTATTAGCTTTCAGATTCTGTTCTCTGTTACTCATGTGTCTCAAAGACTTTCAGAACAAGCAAGTATTATTTTAGGAGTTTAATGCATGGGGCACCTGAGGCCCTGGAAGTTTTATGCCTTATTCTTCAGCACAGTTCATCTCCCAGGACTCCTGACTCCCAAACACCAGAGGTTATCACCAGGTGTCCTGTCTGAAGCAGGACATCTGATTCCTAGTCTTGGCTTAGCCACTAATCACCACAGATGTGGCCTGCTTAAGTCACCTCTGCTCTCAGGGCCTCGGTTCCTTCAGATGAGGTAATTGAACTATATGGTCTATCCAAACCCCCTTCAGCAGTAGCAAGTGACACTAGGTGGCACTCATGTAACTCCAGTGGGGAACGGTTGGAACATGTTGGCTGCCAGCCTCCTTCTGTCCCTTAAAAGACCCAAGGACATGATAAATGCAACTTGGGAAATAATGCAGTTTTAGGAAGACTGATTGGGCCTCCTTTCACCAAGAAGAGTTTTTGAATCTATGGATGTCTGTTATGTTTTACCAGCTACTTTTACAATGTACTTTTGATTTCATATTCCTCTCCTTTTTATCACCTCAAATATTAAAATATTACAGAGAAAGCTATTTCCTATGGCTTAGCTACATTTGTAATCTTGTCCAGACACACAGGCTTGTGTGACATAAGAGCATGTGGTATTACCTTAGCAAGTACCAAGTTTTCCCAGTCACATGCCACTATACGAGTAACTTCTAGGAGAGAGACCCACTGTCCCAGCACTGAACTTCAAGCAAATGGGATTCTTACCTGAGATGAGCCGCCCCTGAACAGGGTGACCCAGACATGGCTTTTGTTCAAAGTCTTGCTCCCCACAGCTGGTTGGTCCTGATGTTTCCAAGAGGTTCCTTCTGGTCTAGGTTCATTCCAAGAATGCAGTCTGGATCAACCTGGCTTCAGAACTTGACCTTCATGATCAGGATATTATCTCAAAGGTGATACTTTCTTCATCGGCAAAAGTCACCCAAGACACTTTTCAAATGCTTCTCCCTCAATCAAGGACCACAGTAGTAGTACCCAAGGATTTAGCAACAAAAATAAAAGATGGAGGAACTAAGTTTGGCATCTAAATCTGTGAGATCTAAGAAGAGATTTAAGAAGTTTCATACTGTTAATTCATGTTGGGAGTAATAGGTGGATCGCAGTGACTGCATCACCTGTCAATATAAGGGACCCTGGACTTGGGTGAACTTCCTGGGTGGAAGTATAGTCATGACTTCCAGACCTAGGGGTGGTGTTAGAGTCAGGGTAAGGGATTGAAGGTACATATGTGTATGCACTGGTAGACTACAAAGACCTGAAGCCAAAATACTAACAGCAGTGGCGTTATGGGTGACATTTATTGTCATCTGTATACTTTTCTGTATTTCTTAAATTTTATTTAATGATCATGAATTTGTTTTTGTGTTTTATTATTTCAAAAGAAAAAAGAAGGAAAGAGAAAAGAATGATCAGCAGGTTTCAACAAAGAAACAGTTGTTTGTAAATTACCTTGTTTATGACTTGAAAAAAAGCGAGTATGATTTCAGAAGGGGATTGTACTATTTCCCTTGGATGTGGAAATTACTTGACTCTGGTCTGATCCACTGATGGTGAAGTAACACCTGAAAGACTCACATTAACATTACAATTGTCCTCAACATACACAAAAGGAACCTTGAAAATGAATACAAATAATTTTTTATAATTTATAATTCTCTTGTTGAATCAAAATGTACTACTTTAAGTGTGAGATTGCTTTTTCGACTATGATGTTTTTTACTTTTCAACCTCACGTGAATTCTACAAAGCTTGGCAGATACCCAGTTGTGACTTCCTTTAGGACTTTTTGTTGCCACTCATTATTCTTCTTAACATTGCCCAAGGTAAAGAGCACGAAGCTTGGAAAAGGTTTGGAGAAAGTTTCTAATCCAGCTTTGGTACAACCTAGCAGTGTAAACATGGTCAGGTTACTTAAGTGTCCTGGGTTTCCATTTTTCCATTTGTAAAGCAAAGCATGGCTGTTCGTACTATCTCTCCCACCTCAGTTATTATAAGGATAAAATAAGATAATGTTAAGGATAAAGTAAGATAATGTATGTGACAGGACTCAAAATTCTATAGGTGAGTTCTTTTGGAAACTGATGGTGAGATAAAGTATGGAGTAAAAAAGGTTTTCTGAGGGAGTGACACCTGTAAAAGAAAAGGGGAGTAAACAGGATTGAGCAGGGCAGTGGTCAGAGCGCAGTGCTTTCTCTGCCAGCCCAACAGGGAGCACAGAGCTACGATGGCCAGTTCAAGAAGTCCGTGTTGGATGGGCATGGCCAGTTCCTTATACCACTGCCTTGTTTAGTCATCGGCTGGGGGGCCACTCCATAAACAGAGTGACCTCAGCTCCAACACAGAGCAGGTCTTGAAGGAGCTAATACCTGGAGGCTGTCAGCTAACCACACTTCTTGAAGCTGAATAGCAAGTCCTTTCTGGAAAGGAGGACATGAGTGGTATATCTCATGTCTGCCACACTGGCCCCTAATATGACTCAACTTGGGGCCACCAGTTGAGATGGGTGTATATCTCAAGATTATGAGTTCCCTTTCTCTGACCACAAACTTCTGTCCTTTGATATTGTCCACTCCCTCTCTGAGCACTGAGCATGCTCTCCCCACCCTCCGTGACCCCTATCCTTCTCTCCCTATCTTGACAGTCACCTCCTTCTGATTTCCCTGGCCTCTCTAGCAAGGTTCACTAGCTTGGAGTCAAGGGTCTGGGATTTTATGTTGCCTTCTCTTGTTCCTCTCGACCCTTTGATTTTTTCTCATGCTTGTCGGACTGATTTCTGAGTCACCCCATGGTCTTCTTTCCTCTGAAACTTGAGTGATGAACCTTACTGGAAAAATTCATGTGGGGACTTCCCTGGCGGTCCAGTGGTTAGGACTCCGCGCTTCCACTCCCGGGGCCCCAGGTTCCATCCCTGGTTGGGGAACTAAGATCCTGCAAGCTGCACAGTGCGGCCAAAAAAAAAAAAAAAAAAATCATTCAGTACCATCTACTGAATGGTAAACTACACTTCAATGACAGCCAATTTCATCAACACATTTACTGCAGCAATCCTTTTACCCAGTTCATATTGTCTTCCTGTTCCACTTACATTGTGTCTAACTTGTAAGAGATGATTGACATTTATCCAATTCTGCCTTATGCAGAAGGTATCTATGTACTTGATATACTCCCTTCCGCTATTCTCCCTCCAGCTTTATTTTTTTAAATAAATTTATTTATTTATTTTTGCCTGTGTTGGGTCTTCGTTGCTGCGCGCGCGTGCTTTCTCTAGTTACAGTGAGCGGGGGCTACTCTTCGTTGCAGTGTGCGGGCTTCTCATTGCAGTGGCTTCTCTTGTTGCAAAGCACAGGCTCTAGGTGCGTGGGCTTCAGTAGTTGTGGCTCACAGGCTCTAGAGTGCAGGCTCAGTAGTTGTGGTGCACAGGCTTAGTTGCTCCGCGGCATGCGGGGTCTTCCCGGACCAGGGTTCGAACCTGTGTCCCCTGCATTGACAGGCGGATTCTCAACCACTGTGCCACCAGGGAAGCCCCTCCCTCCAACTTTTATATGGTAAATCTCTAGGTTACCATAGGAGCTAGGACTTGCACTATCCTGACTCTTGTTCAATACCCAGAACAGTGCCGTAAGCTTATCTGGCACTGAAAAAAATTGTTGAGTGAATAAATAGTTGAATGAAGAAGAACAACTAAATTTGTTTTGTTATATGCCTATTACAGGCTAGAGACAATTTCAAGTATATTATATGTCATCTAAATCTTCATAGGACTCCCATTTTGTAGGTTTTAATCTTCCTATTTTATACATTTATTTGTTGCCTGTCTCTTGCCACTAAATATAAGTTCCTTGAGGGCAAATATCATGTCTGATTCATTTCTGTAGCTTTGTAGCTCCACTTCCCAGGTGATGCCTGACACATAGATGATACTCAATGAAAGTTAGATGAAGGATCAGATAAGTGAGGGAACCACAAATGGAGGGTCAAGTTAAGACTGTGTCCAACACCAAAGCCTGTGCACTTTGTACCATGTCATGTGGCTCTGTCTGTATTGTGCTGTTAACTGCCCAAGGCTTCACAACAATTTAATGACCAAATTTGTTAGAAGAAAATGATCCTCCATGCCATACTTCAATCAAAATGGTGACAGAAATTATAGTTGTCACTTGCTTTATTTACTTCTAAAGAATGTACCTAATATCATACGAAGGATAATTGGCCAGTTCATGAATTTTCTGTTTCGAACATCTGACTGTAATGGTTTCTTTACCTTGTTCTGATGTTATCCACGACTCAGTATATGTTTGGGTATTATTTGGGACCCATCTGAATTCATAAGCCTTCTATTTCTTACCATGAGAATAAGATTAGCCAATATTTGCATATGCTAACACTAGTGACAAAATTATAAAGAATGAGTTAAACAAAATGTCACTTAGCAGAAAGTGATAATTAAGCTCTTAATTAATCTTTCTTTCTGCCAGAATTTGGCTTTTAGTCAACTGATACCATTTGATAATAGTGTACATAATGTGGCAAGCACCAGAAAGAAGCTTCTAGACAGCTCATGGATACTAAAAGTATGCAAATCTTTGAACCTATAGTTGGAAATTGAACAGCAATAGAGGTGAGATTCTAGAATTTCCATTCCCACCACTACTTATAATGGAACCAAACAACTGTGAATGCATTGCAGAGATTACTGAGGCCTTCATTTATAAAGCATTTTATGAAACTTTTAGTGTAAATGCCAGCTATTTTTAAATCTTATGATTCCCTGATGAAAATATTTTCCTAAACAATTTGGACCACTCCATATAGTTCTAATGGTTTCCCTATTAAGTACCTTTCAAATATAGCCACAACGTATCTTTTTGAAATAGATGGGTATTAACCAAATGGAAGTGTGCATTGAAAGTTTCTGCTAAAGCAATGAAACCAAAATAGTCTATAAAATGAGGGATTTGAACTAATATCTCTAAGTTTGCTTTCAGTCATGGGAAAAAAAAAATCTATGGCTGTAACCTTGAAAAAGTTTAGTCAGTGCTAAAACCTGAACACAATTCACATGCCCTGTTATTCATGCCTTACATGATAAATTCTTGCCCATTAATTTAATTCAAATCTGAAGGGAAATTAGCAATTCTATGTGAATTCATCCATTTGTTTTTATTAACCCATCACTCTATCTACATGTTTAATAAAATGTTCACAACGTAACAAGAGCTTCTAATTAAAGGAAGAGGCATTTCAGAAATTTTTTTTTCCTTATTTTTCTGCAAAGGTGATGACAGAGTTTCAACACCCAGCTTTATGTTCCACCGTTATAATTTTGTGCCATATGTACATACAAAAAAGAGCTGCTATTGCAGCACCTCTCCCGATCATAATATCTTACATTCATACCACACTTTACAGTTTAACAAATTGATTTTTTAATTATTTACTTATTTATTTTTTGGCCACGCTGCACGGCTGGCAGAATCTCAGTTCCCTGACCAGGGATTGAACCCGGGCCTCGGTAATGAACCAGAATCCTAACCACTAGACCACCAGGGAACTCCCCAAATTAATTTTTTCAGTTTTTAAATTTCCTATCACATTCACCTCATTGGCTCCATCACGCATCATTGGTGACATCACACCTTAAGCACCTAGTCTCCTTGACCCCTCATTCTCCACCTTTGATCCCCTTAGTGGCCCTGAGGAGAGAGCTTGGAAGATATTCAGTCAGAAATAAGCAAACCTGGGGCTTCCCTGGTGGCGCAGTGGTTGAGAGTCTGCCTGCTAATGCAGGGGACACAGGTTCGAGCCCTGGTCTGGGAAGATCCCACATGCCGTGGAGCAACTAGGCCTGTGAGCCACAACTACTGAG